TGATGTAGAAGAGATAGACTAGTGAATTGGTAAATTATATTGGCAGTAGTAAAGTGCACAGAAGACCTAGCAACTAACTGTGCCCTTAGGGAGCTCTGAAAAGCTTCAGTTATCCTGTCTTAAAGGAGTAGCAGGAATTTGCCAGGGAAAAGATGGAGACAGAAAAGGGAAGAAGCAAGAATTTCAAGCAGAAGGAATACAGGCAAAGGCAGAGTTCCTGAAGAAGCCTAGCATCACTATGGAACAATAAGAAATTCAGTGTGCCTCAACACGAGGATGAGTGGGAAAAAGGACATGAGATAAAGCTAGAATACCCATATATGGTGCCTGCATGCCAGTTTGAACTTGATTCTAAAGAAGAGAATTAAAGAGAAAGTTGTTTCAAATGGTCAAGGGAGAAATAGATGATGATCAGGACCTGAATTAAATTAGCAGCTGCAGTGGAAGTATAGACAGCAGGTTGGAGTCCAGAAACACTTCAGAAATTGAGTCACTAAGAATTGGGGGCCAAATGAATGTAAAGGATATATACTGAGGAAGAAAAGGGAGTTGAGAATGACTCCATGGTTTGTAGCTTGAGCTTTTAACTGGAAAGTTTAACAAAAATAATTTGAGAGTGCCTTATCCAACAGGATTGTTTTGTTCGCCGGCAAATAAATTTTAAAAACTGTATTTCAAAGGCTGCCGTCTCATAAGTCATTTTAAATATAATAAATACTATCCAGGCATTTAAAAGCTACCCAACAGAGGAACTTTCTTAACAATCGTAAGCTTATTTTTCACCAGCTCTCTGAAAAAGTGTTTAGGTTGGGCAAATAACTGGAACCTGAAGTTAGGGTTTTCATTTACTAATAAAAATTCAATTAATGGAATTTCTTATGCCAGTAAAGCCTCAGTTTCTATGGCTTTGGGGGTCTCATTAGCAAAATTGCAAGATTGTACGCAGGGGGAAATGTGTGGACTAGAGGCCCTACAACCAAACGGGCAATATTTAAAGGTCTAAAGGACAAGGTTGTTAGTTGTTTACCAAGAAAGCAAGCCATTTTCCTACAGAACATGAATCATAAATTATACTGAATGTTTTAATTAAAAGACATCAAGTCAGAAGTTTTTTAATGTGTTCAAAAAGCCCAACAGTCAATGCCAGTGCTGTATTCTTTTGATGTATCACTTGTCATTTCACAGCTTTCAAATCCTTTCACTTCTCATGCGTTATCGATGAAACAATATTAAGTCTTCATTTTGGAACACAGCTGACTATTAAAGAGAAGCTCGACGGAGTCGGGACTGAGCATTTCGAGGCAACTGCACCCCGGTGAAGGAGGGCAGCTCGCAGAAGCCCCCAGGACGAAAGCGACCCGCTTTCCGGACACTGTGGAACTTTAATAAGCTGCCGGACACAGACAACAGCTGGATCCCAGGAGTGAATAACGTTTGGCAATACCATGTACTGAGAAGCAGAACTACTGACAAACTGTGAGGATGAGCAGCGAGAGGGGGAGATCAGCTGCCTAAGACCTTCTTTAGAGGGCTAACCTGGCTGGCTGAGAGGATCTGGACTCCCCGCGCCTCCGCGTAGCCCAAAAGAAAGGGCCGGCTGCCACGCCCCCCACGATCGCTGTCTCCCTCAGGCGAACGGGGGACAGACCAAGGCATGGCCTGGTCCTGAATCCTTTGCAAGGAAAGGGTAAAAAAAAAACAGTGACCCCAGAAACTAGCAGCTCCCAAAGGGACCATACCCGAGCCCCACCCAACCTGGCCGGTGTCATTCCCTCTTACCCATTAATATGCTATCTAGTACCCCGACTTCTCAGTTCCCGGAGACGGTGTCTGCTGCTGGTAACAGAGAGGCTGCCAGTCCGCCCCTAGCGTGGAGAGCGGC